AATCCTACCTTTATTTGCCTTTGAGAAGTTTATTTTTTCTACACAGAAATTCACAGATATACTTTACACATTCTAAGCCAAAAGAAAATTTTAGCTAGTTTCTAGTATATAGGTGCCATTATACCTGCTTGGTTATTTATTTTTCAAGGATTTATGTACTATAGCATAAACTTGACCAATATAATTTGTTCAAGACAAAATGTTTCATAGTATAGATATGTTAGGCTTTGATGTATAAGTTAAGTAAAAATAGATATTGTTTTGCATCATATATCAAACAGGAAAATAAAAGGCATAGAAACTTAATCAACCAAGTTTCCTAACACAGTGCATATTACTTGAGTCAAAGGAAAAAAGATTGGAATTAATATTTGTACTGCATTTTGGGAAATGCTGTGCGAGGACTGCTGAGTGAATTTTGTTTACAGCAGTTCAACATTTAATCAAGCAAATCATGTGAGAAGGGACGAGTATAAATGCACCTATTTATGTAGGTAATTTTTCTGTTTCATGCCTCTGATTCATCTCTCTGCCTTGCTTTATGGGGAGTCATGCTACATTGGTTACAATTAATTTCAGTGCTGCATATTAGCCATAAAAAGATATTTCATAAATTGACTGATATAATTTTTTTCCTCTGTGGTTTTCTTGAAAGATGAGAATGGTCCAGAGGAAAAACAAAGTACGGAAGAAATGGAAGGGCAGAGCCAAGAAGCAGGTGGGCTCAGATTTCTTTTGAGGAGTCTTCTAGGCCTCGTCCGCAGAGGTGAACAACGACTTTTCAAAAAATGCTTATACTTTTCACCAGGGTAACTTCCATGTTCATTCAGATCTCCTTCAGGAAGCTACCAACGCTATTAACTATGAGTGACAGGGCTTCCAATCAGAAGGGTGCGTTGTCATGTCTCATTCACCAATTCCATTTTTCTTCCATGTAATAACATTGTACTTAGTAATGCTCTAAGAGGGGTGGGCAGAGGTTGGAAGTGCCAAGTTAGAGTTTGGCTGACTTAGGACAGGTCAAAATGAGCAAATTTTATTTGGGAAAAAAATGAAATGAAAATGTTTAAAAGAAATAAGAGGCTTTCTCTCCACAATGAATGAACTGTTCTTTACTGTTTTGCATTTTCGAAGAGCCATATTTCTGGTTATTTCTTTACATATTGTAGGAGATGGTGTCACAGAGCCTGACTACACCCACCCTACACAGAGATAAAGTGAGATCCAAAGCCTTCCTGACATCCCTTCTGTTCACTAAAGAACAGATGTGTCAATAAAATGTTCATAGATTTTCAGCCATAGATTATAAGTTGAACATTTGAAAATAAAATAGCACTTAAGATCCAAAAGAGATCATCATCGCTTTTGATTCATTGTCTCTTTCTACCCATTTTTGTACTCAGGCACTCTATCCTTTAAAAACGATAAGCACAATTATGAAACTATCAACGTAATCACCTAAACAAAAATATCTTTCTTCCCTTTAGTTTTCAAGTCATTCTCCCAGTTCTAATGAGCCCCACAGGAGTGGGGGGCATTTTTGAAATAGTGGGCTCTGATATGTGCCAGGCACGTCATAGGCCATATGCTGAACTCTTGGAAATAAACCAGGTAGTGTGATAAGTTTTTCACTGAAAACTTCCTACATTAACCTTGGAACTTGTGCTAGCAAACTGAAAGCTTTTATTATTAACCTGGAAGATGGAATTGAAGAAGGCCAATCACAGAAAGCACTGAAGCAAGGCAGCAAAGACCTTGTGTAACTGCTACTGGGTCAGCTGGCTCTCTTTGCTGAAATGTAGTACTTGCAATGAAATGAATTCTGATACAATGTACTGTTGTTATCTACCCTCCCCCACCACCCAAGCGCCCGACTCACACGTCATTATGCTCCGTGGAAGATGAGTCTTATATGAAAAGCTATCACTATTTTCACTAGTTGAGACTGGCAACCATTAGTCAAGGAACTGCTGACAGCTGAGGCCGTTCTCTGACTGTTGAGGTTTCACAGATTTTATTCACTTACTGCTCTCTCTCAAACTGTCTTTATCAACATAGGTTTTTTTCCCAACCCTATTCATATACATACACACACACCCACACACGTACATACGTGCACACATATATACATGTGTACACATTTACCTCTGTTTTACTTATTCATCCTTTTCCCCTTAATCAGTCAAGAACAGGCAGTTTCTCTTGGGATCGTCTTGCCTGTCAGCTGAGAGTGGTAGAATGTAAGCCCTCTTCTCCACCTCCTGGGACAAATGTTATCACAGCAATGTGGGTAACTCTCAATGTAAAGAAGAGCCCTAAATGCGTAAGTGAGCCCACGGGCTGGCAGGGAGGTGAAGGGCAGGGTTCGCCTATCATCCTGTCTGGTGTCAGTATACATCATCATGCCCACTCCGCTCATGTCATAGCCTCCCTAATCTAAGTGCAGAGAAACTCAAGATGTGATTCTGGTTATTAAAGCCCTTTTGACCTACTGTTATCCTTCCAAAATAAAAATACCTGCTTTCCATTCGATATAATTTCCAACTTCGATTTCAATTATACAACTCTGCAGGCCTTTTCCATATCATGAAAAAAAAAAAAAACCACACAATCTCAAACCAGCATAATCCAGAATTTTTTACTGCTGTCATAATCAAATCAAAGTTCTAGTTAATATTGTGACCCAGGCACTGTTCTGGACACTGGGATGCAGCAGTAAACTATAAACACAATATCGCTGCTTCCTCGAAGGTTATATTCAGGTGGGAACAGGGGAGTGGGATCCAAAAATAAACAATAAGGAAAAAAATATAATATAGTGATAAATGCCTTGCAGAGAAGTGACATAATATAGAAGGAATATTGAGAAGGCCACTTTTCATTGGCTGAATTTGGGGACAACTCCTGTGGGAAGTAATAATTAAAATGAAATCTAAATGATATGATGGTGCGAATGCCTCTAGGCCAGTTTTGGTTTAGCACGTTAGAGTAAGAAGGCTTAGTGGCTGGAGCATGGTGGATTAGGGGGAACATGGTGTGAAATCTGGTAAGAGATCATAGGACCCAATTACTTCTGACTCTATAAGATTTGATTTTATTAGAACTACAAAGATAAGCCAAGGGAGTTTTTAAGTAGTGGAGAGACATAAGGTACGTTTTAAAAGCTCACTTTGCCTGTGAGAGAAACTAGGTCAAAAAAGCCAAAGTGAGACCAGTTAGGAGGCTACAGTAGGAAAACAACAATGGTAGTTTCTGGAAATGGAGACAAAAATGAACCTATTTGTGTCATGTTCTGGAGATAGAGATAACAGGACATGCCGATGGGTTGGAAGTGGGAAATGGGAGAAAGAAGTATCTAGGATGAGTCCTAGGTTTTTAGTATCAGTAGTTATGGGGATAATAGTGCCACCCCCTAATATATGAATGGCTGGCTACAGGGCACAGTTTTTGTTGAGAAAATTAATAGCTCAGTTTTGGCCATGGTAAATCTGAGAGCACTTTTAGCTGTGTGACATGTCAAGAAGCCAGTTAGATATATGATTCTGGATTTCCAGGGTGAGATGTGGACCAGAGATACAGATTAGAGAGTCACTGGCATGTTAATGATATTTAAAACCATGAGACTGGATGAGTTTCACTAGAGAGAATGCATACATAAACAAAACAGTGGGCCTGGGACACCATGACATCTAGATATATGGCAACAGGGGAGAAGGAACAGCCACAACAAGAGAGTGTTTCAGAAAGAACCAAGTATAAACTCTATGGAATGCTACGGAAAAATTAAGTAAGATAAGAAAAGAGAAATGACCATTGGATTTGGCAAAGGGAGGTGACTGGCACCTTTGATAAGAGCATTCTTTTTTTTAAAACCAATTGGTTGGGGTGTAGAAAGACTGTGCAGTGAAGAAATATGGAACAATAACATAGGCAGCACTTTCAGGGAGTTTTGCTGAGAAGAAAATAAAATAATGGGAAAATGTGACATCAAGGGAAGGGTAATAATTTGTTCATTTTTTTTTTTAATAAGAGATTGTCATTTAACAAAAGAAAGTGATTCATCATCTCCAATTATCCCCTTACTAAAATTGTTATTCTCTGTTGCAATAGAGATATGACCTAAAAGTAATAGTCATGTACATTATGGATAAATGACATATTAGAAAATATGTGATTTGCCTTTAAATGTGTGTTACTTGTCATGCACGTGTGAGTTTTTAGTTCCATAACCCTGTTACTGCATGAAAAATGTATATATATTTCTTTTCAATAGTCGAGTATTAACCATTTCAAATGCTTTTGATAATCCTTCATGTCTTAAATGTACTATTTTAATGTTAGTAAGTTAATTATCTATTATCCTGGAGGCCAAACATGAGTGGGATCACTAGGGTGCTGATGATACTGAGAAGAAAGACACACTCAGACGAGGTTAATTGCTGCTGTAAGGGAGATAGGGACCTCCAAGTTTCTCATTCCCCACTCTGTGCTTGGGTGACTTTTGGTGCTTTTCTACAAATGCTCTCCATCTCCTGGGCCTCTGCACTGACAGCCATCAGATGTGCTCCCTGCAGTTTGACAGCCTGGCATAATGAGCAGAAGTGCTGTGCTAAGAAGAACCAAACTTTAAAAACACACACATAAAAGCACTTGTAGAAACTTGCAAGAATATACTTTCACAATGCATTAGCAAGAAAAATAATCTACCATTCTTCTAGAGGTGAGGAAGAAGCAAAATGCCCAAGTAAAATAGTACCAACCAATAGCATTCTTCATGAAAAAATAGTGTGTAGTTCATTGGGCTCTGCCTTAACTAGTGTTCTGATCCATTATTTATAAGAGAATCACAAACCACTACCCCTTCAAAGGTCATTCAGTATGTTAGAGCATGAAACAGGCTCATACTTCCTGTGGTAGAGTGGGGAGGGAAGTGTGATGGGCAGGGAAGCTCCAGCTTGGCAGCATTAACTCTGAGCCAGTGTTTCTTTTTTGCTTTATAGATGGTGTCAGTGCTGCTACTGTCCCCAGCCCTGCTTCAGAAGAGGCAATTGAAGTCTGTAAAGATGAAGGTATGAGCCTACTTACTACATCTAAAAATCAATAACTCTTAGGAGACCATTTGGGTTTTGTTTATATGGAAAAATGAAGCAGTGAGCAAATCTGTCTAATTCTCTTTAAGCATCTCTATTTCCAAAATAATCATATATTCCTTATCTGCCCTTTTCAGAAATTCTATATGCATTTACATTTGTTCCTTTGAGAAGCAACTTTATAAAACAAGAGGATTGTTGGAGAAATTATGTTTAAAGATGTTTATTTAAAACACCAGAATTAGACAGTTTTGCTGTTTACAGCTTCTCATCAAGAATAAGTTCAAAAGAGGGCATTTGGGAACCACTTACCAGAGACTTTCATTATCCAGACATAAGAAAGAAGAAATGTTTGAAAGGAAACCTTAGAAATAAATCTTTGGCCAGAGCATCATTCTTTACTCTATAGACAGTTACTAGGAGAAAATGTTGCTGACCCAAGTATATCCAGAAGAAGAAAAGGGTAAAAGAAAATTTGATTTAGGTTCTAGGAGAAAATTCGAGGGAGAAATAGGGAGGACATTTATGTGCAGGTGATAGGGTTTAAATATATGTATGTTATCTGAAGGAAAATAAAATAGGTTTTTCTTATCTTTCCCTTCTGATTAACTGTCCCCACACAAAAAAGGTAATATTTTATATTTGTCATTGGTACCTACTAAAAACCCTTCTGTGAAAGATACATTAGATTATTGCATTTAGTACGAATGGACATCTGGTAAACCATGTGATCACCTGGAACTTTTGGATAAATATGCTGAATGCATTTCTTCAGTTTGGAGTGTTATGAAATAGAACCACACTTGACAATTGATAACAGCCATTCTTTGAATTGGTGTTTAGAAAATCAAACTTGTCTTAAAATTTTAATACTCAGCTATTTATTCTATTTCATGTAGACTTGTAAATGGGTTTTTCTAAGTGAGATGTCCTGCGTAGTGAGGGCAGTTACTAAGATTTTGAATTCTGGGGTTCACAGCGGTTGAGGCTTGAATCTTGTTTCTGCCACTCAAAATTTATATAATCTTTGGCAAGTATTTCGAGTAGTTAACATAAAATTAACAAGTCATGACAAGTAATTAACTTCTTTGTGCTTCAATTTTCTCCTCTGAAGAATGGAGACGATAATAGTATTTACCTCACAGAATACAATAATACATGTCAATTTCTCAAACTCTTCACCTAGTACCTGTGCATATTGGGCTCCCAAGAAGACAGATTCTGCAAAGGAGAATAGGGAGCAGCCATTTATTAGGGAGAACTCTTGGAATCAACACCTGGAAAAGGAAAAAGTAATGAAGCGGAACTTGGTAAAGGGAAGAGCTGAACTGCAAGGCATTCTCAACAAAAGCCACAGCGAGTCTGAAGATGGCATGACCCTTCTGAGATGTCTTGGTTGAGAAAAGAGAGTCAGGCTATCAAAACCTCCCACTGATAAGTTACCTGAGACTGGTTGCCTTGGGAGGGGCGTGTAGTCTTAAGTGAGGCAACCCCTCTCTTGAGGTAATCCTGGAAGTTTGAGATGGATGAGGGCTGCCTGGAGCTGGGAAAATAAGTTCTTTATTCCTGAATGGCAATCTGGGTGGCCCAACTCAGCATCCACCACACTGTTATTTTTAGTGATCTTTTTCTTCTTTGTTGCCACTTTTTAAATGACTCCTCTAGCACCACTTCCCTTCATCTACTCAGATATGTGTCCTGACATCCCTAGTTTTAAAACCATTTGGTATATCTAAAAATGCAAATAATGTCAGATATCCACATAGATTCTGATAAGAAACTCAAGGTCATCTTAGAGAGAAAAGTAAACCTGACCAAGTCAGAATGAAAAGACTGAAGTGATGTTCATCGAAGTAAATAATTTTAGACATTATGATCATTTACTTGTGCTGGATTATTAATATTTTTTTTAAAGTCATGAAGTTAAATGGCAGAGTTTAGGAAACAAGAAGAATAATCTAATTTAGTGCTTCACACTATTTTTCCTGTTGAGTTGTTTGGTTGTATATACGACACATGTATAGAAACACATTGTTTCTAATGTTTCTTAATGCTTTTACGATCTCACATCATTAATTGCTCATGCCAGGATCAATTTCTCAGAAAATTATTTTTTTCTACACAAAACTTGTAATGATGGTAACTCTGAGTTCTGCCACATATCACAAATGCAGTTCCCTAATAAGACTAAATGTGAAATTTTAAGGATTTTACTGAAATATATGGTTAATATTTATTAACCTCTTGACCTAGGCAAATGGAACAATGTTTTAAAATCCACGGTAGCATGTAATTCGATTTCAATTAAAAATAGAACATATAAGATATAATTTTTGCCTTTACCTTCTGAAATAGCATTTACCACTGTTTTTAATTGATTATCATTCCAAAGCTTAAACCAAGTGTCTAATGCTTATAGGACTGCTGTCTAACTGAAACATAGCTTAGAATGAAAAAAAAAAATGAATTTGCCATTGAAATCCTCTAAGATTGAGGTTAAGTTGAGGTTAAAAGGCAGTCATATGTGTTGAGGATTCATTTCAAACATTCACCATTATTAGTTTCATGCAGAAATATATTTCCTTGGTGACAACTGGGCTACTTATAAACTCTGCAGTTATAAAACCACTTATAAAAATGCATATTACACTCTCCAATTTACATGGCAAAACATCTTTGCTGACCAAAGGTCCTGAAGCAATCTTTGCTCTCTTGCCTTTGTTTCCAGATTTTGATCCTAACCCAACATCTTCTTGAAGTTAGAACAACAGATCTAATGGACCGGCATTTTTTCCTTCTCTCTCTTTCTCTTTCCTATATAATTCATAAAGATTTTGAGACTCATCAGTTATTTCTAGTTTTGATTGTTGGTTGACTGGCTTTACATTTGTTATAATTTTTGGTTCTTATAGGAAACTAGTGTCTTCTAGAGTGCAAGAACTTAAAACAAGCAAACAAAAAGTGAGCTGGCTAATGTCACTTGATTTAGAGATAAGATTTTTTTAAAAATTAAAACATGTACATGAAAGCAGAAAAGTTTTAAGAGGAAATGTCTTCTATGCCAGAAATTTTGTTCAAATGTTCTAGACATACTTCCCACTGAGTATATAGAACAGATACTTGTTGCCCATTCACCTCGCATAACTAATAATAATGCAAGCTGAAGACAGAAGGAGGTACCACTGATTGGCTCATGTCTCAAGAGCTAGATTGCGAACTACAGACTAAAGGCACCTGTTGCCATTGACTCATTACAACCCTTAGGTGAGCAGGAGTGAGTTGAGAGGATAAGGTGTGAGGAGGAATGATGGTGAGTAATTCAATACAAGGGTGCCTGCCAAGAGTGTGGCAGCCAGGACTGAACTAAAGTGAGCTCCAAAGTAAAAGTAGCCTAAGAAATTATCCGTAGGTTGATAGAAGTTCTGAGGTTCTTTATAAAACATGGCATTCCCTTATCTATTGAGAGATTTCTTTCTCTACTTGTAAAACTACTCTAATTATTGATTTAATGGTAGTTTGCACTTTATTTATGTATTTATTTATTTATTTTTGCACTTTAAATCCTTAAAAAATAAACCCAAGAGTACAAATATTAAAGCTATTTAAGTTACCAAATATATAGGCAATAAGATAAAGAGGAGTATAAACACAGGAATAAAATTTATATTAGGAGTACAAAGTACTCTGGTTGAAACTACTGCAAAGATATTATTATTATTATTTAAGATATAGTTGATCTTGAATTCAAGGAGAAGTCTCTGTTCTAGTTGACTCAACACTAGTAATAGTTCATCTTCACAGCCAAAGCCAAGGCATCTTACTGGGCGGTGGGGGGGCTGCGGCGGGGGGAACCCTGCTGTTTAAACATATCTCGATTCTCCTGTCTTATTATTTAATTACTCAATTTGAATTTGAAGGTCAACTAGATCAAATCATATGCTCATTAATATTAAAAACAAAATCAATTAATACTCAGGTGCATGCACACAAAGCTTGTATTTCTTTGGAGCCCTGTGTAAGTCACATCAGTGCTGTTTGGTATTTATGAAGTGGGCTGTCCCCTGGAAAAGGATTTCTTAACCTTTAATCTAAGTTTAAAACCTTCTAGAGGTCAAAATTTCTGTAGAATAGGAAGAAACGTAAAGCAAGAATCAGGCTTGCCAAAGAGAACAAAAGAGAAAGGACAAAGTTACGTATGAAGAAGCAGATTCGGGAATGTGCGAGAGATGGGCATAAATGCTTCCCACCATCTGTCGCCTTAAGCCTGGGCCGGTGGTGTCTCTGCTCCAGATGACCCTGAACATGGTTTATGTCCCTTGTCTAAGCCATTGGAGAGAAACAAACATTGGGCCACCCATTAATTTCCCCTCAGGCTTCCCTAGTCTGATTTTTCTTAATACTCTTTCTATTCTTGGTGTCCAAGTGTTCTCCCCGCTACCCACAAAAGTGGAACAAAGCTGCCCCCTGTCCTAGATCTGCACTGGTGGAGTATCTGGATACACTGTAACTCCCCTGTGTCATCACTCTTGGATTTTAAGAGTCTGAAGTGTGAAATGAAATCTGCTGCCTTCTGACAGTTCAGTGAAGGGGAAAGAACCAAGATACATGGAGTGTCTCCTGTTCTGGATGCTTTATGTTTGTGTACAATGTAGTTTTCATTTTATTAAAGGGTAACCTGAGACTCAGGAAGGAGAGAGAGAAAGGTGTGTGTGTAGGGCATGAGGAGAGGAGGACTACGTTATTAATGTTGACGCCATAGCTGATACTTACATGAGTTTACATAATCCTCATAAACAATAGTATTTTATTCTACTGTAATATAACAATTATTTACTTTACCACTTATAATACATATTTATTATAAAATATTTTTAAATGCAGAAAAATATAAAAGGTAAAAGCATATAATCATTTTTTCTTTAAGGATTAAATTATTTTTAAAAAAGTCTTTATTCTGGTTTTTCAGTTAACAATTTGCT